GACAGATTTATTTATTTATTTGCAGTTTTATTTTGATATTTTCTCATATGCCTTGTCATCTGTAAATTCTTGCAATGTCACTGTAATGCGGAAAATGACCATTCATTGGCATTTGTGCACACTTGTATACATTTCACATCTGTTACTATTGAAAAAGTGATAATAATTTGTGCTTTACACAATGTTGAAAATACATCATGTTCAGTTTTGGAATTTCAGTCATTTGGAAATGTGTCACAGACAAAAAAAATAATTTAACTGTTGTGTTCCAGACAAACTAAATAGATAAACTGCAACATGGGAACAAGTCAATGTTTGGTCTGAAGTTTTAGCAACCTAAAAAAAACAAGTGTTCCAGAGGATGTTTAGTGGTGTAGAGTAAACCTTAAAATGGAATATATTGCCAATCAGACAGCATCTCCTATACAAAAATGACCAAAGAAGTGAAATTGGCTGTCCGAAGTCTAAACAATGGTAAAGAGGCACTTTAAAGATAGGAATGCTCCTGGACTGCACAATGTGAAAGGACAAATCTGGTCACATCACTTCTACAAATAAGGATCTAAGGAACTTTTACCGAGCACCTATGCAGAAAGCTGATGGATTTGGGAGAGAAGAGTGTGGGAAAAAATACGTCATGGGTTATCATATTATGCATCATATTATCTGTGACTCACAATGGCATATTGAGTGTCATTTGTGTGTGGAATGTGGAATGAAGGGGTACAAACTGAATAATAAAATAGTGGCTGTCTAATACCACATGTTGCACTTGCTTATGATTTAAAAAAGGCAGTTTTAGGTTACATTTTAGATACAAACTGCCCATGCACACGGGTAGGTGCAGGATGCACACACAACAGAAAAGAATCTAATGGTGCAATTACTGCCAATACTGCCAATTAGATGCCAGGCATGATCAGCTACTTTTGAGAAAACACGAGAAGGAAAGTGAAGAGAAAAGGGAAAGGATGAAAAGAGGTCACGCAGGACACGTGAGATAGAGAACGTGCAAGAGGTTGTAGAGACCAAGGGGTGATGGAGGGATGGAGGTAACTGCAGAGAAGAGAGCAAGGGGGATTTGCCATCACTCACATGCTGCACTCGATCATTCCCTCTTTTGTGAGGTGGACAATGAGAGCCAGGGGTACAGGGCTTAAAAAGGATAGGCACACTGTTAGAGCCAGCAACCCTGGAGAGACACCAGCCAACTCAGAGGTATCAGAAAAGAAAATGTGGACTTACAAAGAATTGATTTTTACTCAACTTCCAGGAAGATACGACTTTGTTTGACGGCTTGTCAACAACTATGAACCTGTTTTTGGAGTGGAAGTGGAACTACAAAGGCAGAAGAGATGAAGTTTGGAGACCTATATCTAGGGAAACGCTCTTAACAGCTGACAAACTGGGCCTGGGACCCTGATGGTTGTTCATGTTTCTGGACAAGTCTAACAATATTGTCAAGACGCATTTGGGATTCAGATGTATAGGCGTGATTTGGATGTGATTTTGGAAATTAGAGGGTTTTAAGAGCCGCAGTGAGGAGTATAGGAGTTTAAATCAGTCTATGAAATCATTGGCTGTGTGACAGAGAGCGACACTGCTGACAGTTCAGTTGCTCAGTGTTGAAAGATTAGTTTGTGGTGCATAGAGGGGAATTAGTGGCGAACAATGGCTCTGAACTGCCTGATAGGCAAGCTCATTGTCATAACAGTGGTTTGGCTCAAGTGCTTTGCTGGCTATGACCAATTTGACAGCATCGCAGAAGAATGACTCACTTTCTTGTCTAATGCGCATGCATGGTCGAAATTTTCATTCCAAATCTCTCTCTTTTTTTTGCAACAAAAAATGCTTAATGAGGATCAAATGGTAATATTTCAAAACCAGAAAAATGACATGTTTTTTTAACTGTTTTAAAGGTTTGGTTTATTCTTGGCCATTTAGTTGTGTAGTGTCTATCAGTATTAGAGATGTGATCAATCTATTCCGTGCAAATGCACCTCAACCTGGCTCACATACTAAAATAGAGGCGGCAGGTTTGTAGGAGGTCTGTTGAGCTATCTGGGACACCTCTGATTTAGACCTGTAGCACATCCGGGATGCTGAAAAATAACGTAGGACTGGAATGTGGAACTGGCAAGGAAACTTTGTTATCTTGAACAGACATAGATAATGATTGGATATTTCTGCCTGAAGTGCCTAATGCAGATTCAGAGACAGCAGAGAGAACTTGTTGACAGGCTATTTTTCCTATACATGGGATAGGAAACAGTTGACAATGCCAATCTACGTGAATGACTTGACTAAGGCATCCATTCAGGGCATCATTAAGTAAAATCATTATTAGTATGAGGTCAAAATGATACACCTTGCTCCAACATGTCTTCTCTTCCCTGAATAGTTGCTGAATGTGTAGGAGGACAGCGCTTCCCCCAGCTTCTCCACGATGCTGTATAGTTTGGCGGGAGGAGGCACACTCTGCGGCGTGGCTGCCCTCGTACTTCTCATCGTTTCTACAGCGACAGACTTCTGGATGCAGTATCGATACTCGGGTAGCTCTGCCAATCAGGGACTCTGGAGGTTCTGCATCAACCACAAATGCCATGCCCACACCATAACTGTAGGTGAGTACTTCAGAGGTGACACTCAGAACAGACAAAGGTTTGATTTCAAACACAGTGACAACATAGCAAGGACAAAATCATGGTCAAACTGGTCTATCTAGAAAACAACTAACAATTTCTTGGTCATTTCTTTAAGCCAAAGCCGCTCCACTTAAATTAGGTCAAAAGAACTCTAAACTTCAACCAATAGTGTTTGAAAGAAAAGGCAAAAGAAAAGAAGAGCAAATAGAAGGGAGAATCAGCAGAAAATTCACTATGACCAATCAAATAGACCCAATTGCAGAGGAACTCCGTATTGTGAGTGCTAATACTGGCAAAATGACAAACTGATCTGATCCAGTCCAAGCCTAAGCCTAAGTATCTGTTGATGTGTGTGTGATCCTGATCTTTTTGTGTCCAGCCTTCTGGGATGCTACACGGGCCTTTATGTTGCTGGCGGTGCTGAGCTGCTTTGCCGGCGTGGTGCTCGGCCTGAGCGCCTTCACTAATGGCACCAAGAACAGGAGGGTCCGTACAGGCGGCATCGCCCTGGTCCTGTCAGGTAACACACACACACACACACACAGGGTGCCCTGTTGCAGATACTATGCTGTAAACTTAGCTTAGTTTGTTCAACGTAGCAAGTTCATCTGATTATCAACCCGATTGTACTTCTTCGAGGCAGAGTGAGTAGAAGATTATAGAGTAACTGCAGGGAAATCAGCAGTCAGTTCCAAAAATAAGCTACATTTTCCCTGCACTAGGCTTGTGTGGGACCTTTTTGCAATGGCCTTACGACAGTGGCCAAACTGCAGTCAGTGGATACCAAGGGTTTAGGTTAAAAAGCTGTGCCACGCTTTGATGGATAACTCTTTTGTTAAATGCAATATTGTACACTTTAATAAGCAGTATCTTGACAGGTTATATTGGTTAGAGTTTCTTAAATCTGGTCTGCTTATTTTCATGTTTTACTTTAATAATAATAGTTTTAAAGTTTCCTCTCTCTCTCCATTCTCAGGTTTTCTTGCCCTGCTAGCTTTGGCAATTTACACCGGAGTGACTGTCACTTTCTTTGGCAAACGTTTCTTGGACTGGCGCTTCTCCTGGTCCTACATCATCGGCTGGGTGGCCATCATTCTGGCTTTTGCAGCAGGTATTAACTGTATTTATTTATTCATGGGTCTTATTTATTTCGTTAAAATTGTTTATTGTCTATCAAAAATAACATTTTGATGTTGTATAGTGGCAAAAATACCTCAGTATAGATGGTTACCCAGCAGCCAAGAGGAAAAAATGAATTGAACCAGTGCCTATGGCTCTGCATTAAACCAGTGAGCTCTTAAATAAGCAACATCTTAAAATGTCTTTTGGTTCTTTTTTTGTCTTGTTTTATAGTAATTCAATATTTAAAAGTTCATTGATCCACAGCTGCTTTGTTAGAAAACGCTTCTATTTTTTTACAACAGTTATTGGTCATAGTGAGATGATTTTTTAAAAGTATGGATATGTCATTAAAAACTGATTCATTATATTTGGAGAATAGTGTGTTTCTTAACTTTCTGACAAAGACTTGCCTTTGGTTTCTTTCAGGTGTTTTTCAGCTCTGTGCTTACCAGCGGACTACTGGCGAACCTGCTCCTTCAAATAACCCAGACAGCTGAATACAATGATTAGCTCGAAGACTGTTGAAATGGATGTCAGTGCTGCTTTTGAGTTCCTAGAATGGAATAAATAGAAACTTGTGTGGTTTCACTTCAACTCCGATTCAATGACAACAATATTTTTTGAATCTAGACATTTAAAAAACATCTACCTTCTTCCAGTGATAATTGGTAGATCAATTAATTTGACAACTACATTACCTAGAAGTCTTTTATTTTCTGTTGGTGTATCAGAGATTCTCCACTAGATGGTGGTCTTATGCCACATACAGGAGGCACAAAAAAGATAATACCTCTGTCACAGAGGGAATTCACCAAACTTGCACTAACAATCAGAAGTCTTGCGGACTGGATTTTAAAAACTGGTTACAAAGTACAACTGACAGCTTAGGAGCAGCAAAGGTAATAGCTTAAACTACTGATACCAGTGGGGCATCAAGGTCATTGTTCGCATCTAAGTATAGGCTACCTTTAGAATAAAAAAACCCAAAAGAAATGGAAATGATAAAATATCTGGAAGTGCTAAATCAAAGGCAACTAGATTTGCTGCAGTTTGCAAATGTATACAGCAAGTATAGTTAGTTGACTTAAATATCCTATGACCTGGATAAGAGACTATAATAGTAAAATAATAAAATATAGAGCAAAAGCAAGAGAATACATTTGTAGTATTCACTGTAAGTGTTTGTATGTGGTAAGTAGATGCAAGCAGGGGTGCATTATTGTTAATAAATATATTCAGTCTTACTGACCAGATTCCATCAGATTTATAGTTTACTTGTGATGCTTCCTAAATCCATCAAATAAGACTATTAAAACTGTGAAAGGTCTCTGTCAAACCAAGAACAATCTGCATTAGAAACTTAACAGCAACTGTATTTTTTTGGTGCCAAATTTTCTATATCTGATTTCACTGAATGTAAAAATTTCAAGTTAAGGTTTTCACTTTTTTCCACTTTACCAACTTCTACTTTACAAACTTTATTTGATCAGGTTTATTTTCTATCCATTCAATCAGGTCTCATGTAGGAGTTAAGTAACAGCAAATACACAAAACATTTACTTCGCAACATTTGATTTATTTTGAACAATAGCAAAGCCATCTCACAGAGACTACTTTGAATTACACAGAATGCAAATAAATATATAGGACCATAGTAGAATTAAGGACATTAACAATTGATACAAAATTATTTACAACACTTTCAATAGTGCAAAACCACACAAATACTGCCCTCATCATTGAGATTCTTGCATTGAGTCCTTTCAAGGACAGTGGATGTGTGTGCTGCCCCCTGGTGGGGGAATATAAGAACCGACAGTACTGTATATGGCATGTTGACAAAAAACCTTTGCTAAACATAAGAATGACCATCTTGAAACTGGGTGTAGCAAAAGTAAACCCACTCGCTACACCTCGTCAAAAAGGGCTTCCACAACGAGGGTGATGTGAAATCATTGAGATGTGGATATGCATCGTTAGGTTAGTTTAAAAAGGGTCATAAGAGGGGGGGGGGGGGGGGGAGAAAAAAAAAGAAGCATTCTGAGAAGCTGAATAGTTACCAGTATCAGTTAGAAAAGTCAAGTAAATCTCAATGAAATAGTAGTGTTCTTTCTCAAAGCGACATTTGAGAAACCACCAAAGCCAAGAACGTTTGAAAAATGTGAACCCCCATCACAAGTATTAGACTTTGAAATGACAGAAGGAAAAGATGACAACCTAAAACCCCGTGGCAGGTAGTGCCCACCACCCCTGAGTGAAAACAATTTAAAAAAGGTCTTAGCACCGTCAGATACCACAGAACGCCAGCTTTGCCATTTCTTCTCAATCCAAAAATACGGTGTGTTGGATTGTGACAGGCACAACACATTTTTTAAAGTGCGCTCGCTCGCTTGAGCCGTTTCTTTCACTCACATCTTTGTTTTTTTTTGTTTTCGTTTCTTACACAACTTCTTCCCCAAAAACATCAAGCTCCATTTTAAAAAAAAAAAAAAAAAAAAAAAGCACACAAATATAAATTACAATTTTGCCATGCATAATAATTTGTTGCATATTGAAATTCTCTTCTTGGGACCACTTGTTTTTTTTTTGCTGTTGAAAACTTGCACCTTACGGCAAGTGTGGTTGTAGATTCTCCTCTTTGGGTGGCAAGAGTGAGAATGCATATACAGTGTCAGTCAAGTGTCGATATTGCAGACACATGCATGAACATTAGAAATACATTATTGGTGCTACTTTAAATAACCTGAAAAGTCTAGAAATGCCACTTGGTCCTCAAGAGGCCTGTCAGAGCGAGAGAGGTACATCAACAGACATCTGAACCAGACAGGTTTTAAATCTACTCTTGAAGACCAAAGTCATAGAAAAAAGGTACACAATAACATCTTGATGCCTCTGAGATAAACTCCTTGTGTCCTATTGTGCTAAATATTTATGCATTGATGATGCATTCATCCAGTTGAGACTGCAGAGAAAAAAACCCCAAAACCTCTGAACATTGATCATTAAAGTGATTTAAATCATACCAAAGACGAGGAAAGTAATGCTGCAATCGTTGCTGGTTGGAGAAAGAGAGAAAGGATAAGACCATCAGGAGAGTATCGAGCCTCAATGGGCTGATCTGATTTTGAGATTTCAGCCATCATCATTTCAACCCACAGCTGATTAGGAAGATAAGAACCGAATCGAATAGCAGTACCCGACAGTTACTCAATTTAAGGACAGAGACAGATTTGTACATACCACTGATAGATGGAACGGTAAATAAGAGATAGAAAAATCATTTAAAAGTCATCTCCGTGCATTCATGCAAAAGATGTGCACTGTGTGCATCTTTGGCTATGCATAGCACTACATCTCTGGTGTTGAGGTGCAATATTAAGCACTACAGCAGGCTAATGCTGATTGGTATAGCCCTGTTCAGACCGCATGCTCAGGGAGAGGAGTATGTATGTGAAAGACAATGGACAACATAGGTTCACAGATGTGGAACAGTTTCTGTCAGGCAAGTGCCCGTCAACTTTGCTACACGTAAGTTAGAGCCGTTTGGCTTTGGTTTGAACGACAGACACGCTGCAACCAGGCAGTGTGCGTGTGCATTTTGGCTCGGCCCTGTGTGATTAAGTCGTGGCATGTCCATTTGTCTACTGCACTAGGAGGAAGTATAGCCCTTCAAGTTAACATGTTGTCTCTGAAATTGCACACGTTGGCCATTTTTCCTCTAGCCAACAGCAGAGGCCGTGTCGGGAGCACAGTCTGAGTACATGAAATTTCTCCCGCTGTGTTCTGCTGGAAGAGGCCGAAATAATCCTCCAGTCATGAGTCAACCAGTCTCTCCTTCAGTCACCGAGTGTTATGTGTCTTGGCGGTACCTGTGAAAGCACAAAAGGGAGCCAGTTGAGTGTGGCATATCAAAAGCAAACAACTAAATACACACCTAACAATACACAAGTATTTAGCCGCTTGACAGCAAGGCTGCAACTATTAATAAGGATCAATTTGCCCCGTTCTCTTGTCAGAGAACAAAGCCAATTATGCAACACGGTAAACACCAGATTGAAAGCAATACCAAAAGTAGATAACTATATTCCGCACCCAACAACAATTGTAACAGCCACGTATGCTTTTTCAGCAACATTCAAATTGACACAAGACCTCTTAACCTATAATTAAGTTGTGTCTGTGCATATTGTACTCTGTAGTGTGACCACAGCATGTGTTGGGGTGATTGACTGTACCTATGTAAACCAAAAAGACGTCTACCATTTTTAGACACTGGTGAAACTACGGTGTAGTTGTCTGACCTACAAGTGTTTGTTTGTGTGATCATTGAGGACTGTCTGGGCACAAAAAAGGCGAACTTTAATGAATTTGTCTTCATTTTTAACGGTGCAGTTGTGAGGCAGAACTGCTGTTTTGGGTATACACACACTGCTCACGCCAACGGTTTCATTTCTTTAGAAACCACCGTGTAAGGTGTGGTTCTGTCGCTTTATATTCAGAGAATGGAGGGCCATGAGGAATAAAAGACTGAAATCGAAAGAGAAAGATTCTTACCCACTCTGTAAGGTGAACTCGGGCAGCGCCCCCAAAGATGTCAGCTGTTCCTCCAGGGCCACGATACGTAAACCAATGTAGCCAGAAGACAGCAGCAGCAGCACAACCCTGTAACATACAGACAAAATACGACACGGTCACATTTATTGCCCATTTATTCACTGTGATAAATGTTCATGATTCCAGCTTACAGCAGGTCCATGGAGAACCAACAACAACTAAAGACTTGATTAATGCCTATATTTTTATTGTCCTTTTAACAGGCACTTAATGGACTGTGTGTCATATTTGCATAACACTAAAATACACTGCCACTATTTATATTTCTCTGGGGGGGGGGATGGCTACAGTGTAAGGGATAGTTGTACATTTCTTGTGTTAGCAATCAAAAACTGGTTTGCAAAAACACACACACAAAAAGAAAGTTGGCAGCAGCTGCTTTAGATTTTCCATTACATAAAAGAGATCCAACAAGATCACCTAGTTCGTTAGTAACAGGGCAGGTTTCTAAAATTCCTCCATTTCCTTAAAGGAGTGTGTCTTTGAGAGAGTGAGAAGCAGATTTAGATTAGCACATAGGAAGATAAAGCACTGGATTAAAGCAAGACGGGAGGGAGAGAGGATAAGACAGGACACGCTATAGAAAGGAAGTGCTACTCACAAAATCAAGTAAATGAAGAGAAGAGTGTTGAGGGTGCTGGCCTCTCTCTGAACCAGCAGGGACTTGGCCTTTTCTGTCACATTCCAAACCCACGATCCACTTGAACCTGGAAAAGGAATTGGAAATGTAGCATGAATATTAAAAGGTTCTCATGTTGGAAGGTTCTAGCTTCATTTCATTCAATGGCAAGTTGACAATACGTTGTATATTTTGTAGATGATTGTAGATAGTGAGAAGCAAAAATGAAACTGAGAAAGCCTCATCTCAAACTCATGAAAACTA